ACATCCAATCCTACTAAAGTTCCTTCGAGATAAGTTAACGTTAACTCTCAACGATCCGTTTACGTAGTATTAGAATGATTATGAGATCAGTTAAACATGAAGGTAACTGAGGATATTTTGGAAATAGTTTTTCGTTAAGTACGATACCTTTACGGTATCTATTTTCTTAACGATGATCAAATCCTTTGGTAACGTTTGTAATGTAAGATGAAACGCGGTTCCGATGCGTCATTGCTCGCGATCATAGTCATCGGGATCGGTTCAAGTGGTGTTGACCTTAGCTTGTTCCCTTTACATCTTAGCTACTCGTTACCGATTCGTGGGAACATCATCAACAGATTCTATATTAAATTCTCTTTTCATAAAAGATCTCTGTGTCTTTTGAAAATTAGCCGATATTTCGATTCGTTTAGTCTAACAATTAAATCTTTGCTATACCAACGTCAATTATTTCACTTTTTAGAAGAGATTTAGAATCATAGAAACGAGCTAATAACTATCGGACCGGTATATTTTAACTATTGAAGGAAATACTACGAGATCCTCAATAAGCAAGTTTGCCAGGGACTTCGATTTGAGCGTTTATTTTATGCTTCGTTGGTTAACGTTCCTCTATACCTTTCTTTCGTACGGTAAAGAGAGAGAAAGAGAGAGAAAGAGAGAGAGAGAGAGAGAGAGACAGAGAGAGAGAGAGAAAGAGAAAGAGGAAGAGAGAAAGACACACAGACAGAGACAGAGAAAAGAGTAGAGTAGACGTCGTTGACTTGGAGAACGCGAGGGAACACGTTCTTGCTTCTCCTTCCTCCGTCGACGTAGACTACTCTGCTGTGGCAGTTTTTAAACGCGTCCGATACTCCCAGCAAGAATTCAACGAAGAATCCCTCGTATAATCTTTTATTCCACCGCCGCTATGTAGTTTCTTTCTCTCTTTCTCTCTTTCTCTCTCTCTCTCTCTCTCTCTCTCTCTCTCTCTCTGTCCCTGTCTTTCTCTTTTCTTTTCTTTTTCTCTTCATCTTTCTTCCTCTCCTTTATTCGTTCATGCATTTTTGCAGTCCCCGACTCGATTTTCTTTTACCATCAGATTCTCTTCTCGTATAAGTTAACAAAAAAAGGATTTGATACATTGATCCTGCCACGATCACGAGTTTCTCTCTGAATTCTTTATGAAACGTACATTTTACAATCTAACAACGAAAGATGTATTGATCATCGTATAATGCAAAAATTATGAGAAAACGTTGTCTTAATAAGTACCTATATATTTATATACCTATCTATCTCATACCATAGAAAAAGAGACTGGGTTGATAATGATCCCCGAAAGAACAAAGTTACCGGCTCAAAGATGCTCGATGATAACTTGTGCAGACGCCGTAAGAAGAATTCTATCGTCGCTTTATCAAAAGTTCCACCGAGACTTGCCGTACCATTGGCCTGGATTCTCGTGTGAGTGCTCTGGCCGAACCGATCTTATTAAGGCCTAATTAGCCGTTTAACAAGGTATATTTAACTCATGGTGTGCGTACGTTATATCCACATAAGAGAAAGAGTGAGAGAGGGATAGAAGGACGAGAGAAAAGAGGAGGACGCCGTTAAGTTTTCGGTATAAAAATAAATAAGCTGTATTCTCGTCGTTCCCCCCGAGTCAATCCGCGCCATTTAGCGGCATAATCGGACTCCCCTTTTATCTTTTATCGAGCAATCCAAGGCAAACGCGGAGAGTGCTTATCAAAGTGAACTACGTATATAGAACTAATCCGTCTAATTTGTTTATTAAATCGACAGATTCAATGAGACGCAGGTAAAACATTTGATACCGGTGCAGTTTGAATGTATGTCTGTGTTTGTACGTGACTATCGTCCGTTTTTACATTATTTTATAACAATAGAAATAGATAACATAGTCGATTATATACTTTTATGTATTATGAGAGCAGTTAATGAATGTCAAAAGATCTTAAAGAATAAGATAGAAAGATATTAGGAGAAGTAAGTTAAGCTCTATGGGTATAAAATATCATATTATTATCGAAAAGAAAAGAAAAAGAAAGTAAAAGATGAGAAAGAAGAAGAGGTACGTAACTGTCATCTTTCGGTAGAATAGTTGCTGTAAATCATTCCAGGAAAGAGAATTCTCTGACAATGTTGAACGGTCTATACCTGAATCTTTCGTTCGACGATGGTGTAGGGACCTGAACGGAACACCACCTGCTTAGTAATGTTTGCTATCCTTTATATTCTCCATTCTTAGAGTAACGAGCGACGAATCGAAATTTATGATCCATTTATATCTATACCGATAGTAACTTTGAGGATCATTTTTGTTACTACTTTTATCTTTACTTCTAACGTATACATAAATACACGATGAACATAAACCGAATATGGAATGGGAAAAATTTTTGTTACGCATTCCAATCGTTCGTTTATCTTTCGCACGGTCAAGCTCATAGGTAGCAAGTCTGCTTTTTTCTATTAGTTTAGCGAGTACCGTTGCTTCCACTTCATACGGTGAAACGACACAAAAGGTAAAAAAGGAAGAGACGATAGATGGTCTCAAGAGACTCACCTCTTTCCTCGATGACGTCCGCCTGATCAGAGTAGATCAGCATAAAGGAGACGTAGAGGACGAAGATAGTGCCCAGTCCCATGTTTAATCCTGTATCCAGAGCGAGGACGCAAGAAGGAAGAGACTCTGCTTCTTCGCAAACACCTTCACGAAGATCCTCGCATATCGACTACTACACAAACACCGCACATGTGGACGTTACTACACTCCCGTAATATACACACAACAATGAAACTCTCGCGTCTTTTCGAAGAAGAAAAATCTTCAAGGCGGATAACGAGTATACGTACATCGACCTATCCTTCTTCTTCTATTTATTTATATTTAATTTTTTTTTTCCGAGCAATGATGACACTTGCTCGATACACTTGATTTCAAACTTCGCGGTCTCTTTTTCCACCTTTCTTCGTTCGTCTTGTCTTAACATTCCTCGTAATTTTCATCGAGGACAATTGGAATGATGAATCTCCTTTCTCTATTCGTTCCTTCCTTTTTCAACATACTAGTGAAACACTAGAGAAATTCACGACGATGGATTGAATCTTGGTTTGTGTACGTGTAATAAGTAAGTAAAAGAAACACTTTGTAGAAAAAATGTCCGACGATAATACGAAATTTTTTGTTGCCAATTTCACTAGTATAAATCCCGACACAGAAGATAGGAGAGGTCGACGTGCACAAGAAAGAGACGCGTTTCGAGCGGTGGGTAAGGTGTCGCGGCGACCACCTTGTCGACCGTCTTCGCGTCGGGGGCAACTGCTCTTACTCCCACGCTAGTCGACTCAAGAATACGCGCGCCTTGTCAAAGACCAGCGAGGTTTCGTTTAGAGCGCGACAGACGGCGCCACCGGCGGGGCCGATTAACGACGCCGTCGAACTCTCACGGAAATTACCGGACTTTCTCGAAGTCGTTTCTATCTCTACTCAAGTTGTTCTTCGTGGATACACATGTAATTTCATCCTTTAATTTCTTTTTTCTTTTTTTTTCTTTTTTTTTCTTTTTTTTTCTTTTTTTTAATTCGATCATTCATATTATTAATCTCATATTTTGCGTGTCTCATAACGAAATTTCTTCAGTTCTCTTTCGTACGGATTCATGTCGTTTGTAATTCGTTAATTTTGTACTATCGTTGTAATTTGAATTTTGCAACGGTCCACTTGATCCAACGATCAACCGAGAGAAGAAAAAATGGATAACGACGATGAAAGCAACGAAGTTGGAATGACGTACTGGTTAAAGAAAAAGAGGATGTAGCGAGAAAGCCGTAAGTAAGTTTCCGATTATGCCAAAACGCAAAAAAAAAAAAGAAAAGAAAAAGAAAATACATATGTGTGTACGTGCATACGCGTACACGATCGATCATTGCAAATCAGAGAGGGTAAATGCACTTACGTACGATGCCGTCGATTCCCCGAAGACGCGTCTCGTTTTATCGTCGCAAAAATCGCCGAAGGGAACTGGTTTCTCGTCATTGAAACACGTACGCGATCGAGTGTTGTACGTGCGATCGCTCGTATGCGAGAAAACTTTTCTTCGTTCAAAACTCTTCGTGTAGCTTAGTAAATACCTATAAATTAAGAAATACCTGCACGAAAAAGGTATGAGGATTTTTTTTTTTTTTTTTTTTAGCCTTTTACATCTTCTACATTTTTTATTTGCAATTAATTTAACGTCCATTGTTTCGAAACGCTCCGCGCAGAAATATTTTTTTTTCAAACGCATTGTTCGCAAAAATCGGGAAAAAAATTTTTCCACTTAAATTACTACGTTTCTTCTTTATTCTCAATAACTTTTAATTCGTTAATTTAAAACATTCGATTTTGCATCGATCATTATTCCATTTATTAATCATTCAAGTTTTTAAATATTCAAGAGTAAGAGTAGTTAACCTCGTAGAATGCAAAGATATTACTCGTGCTTTTAATCTTTCCACGCGAGTGACCAAGTGGGTGTTCGAAATGTTGTAACAAGCCAAAAGAGTCGTGAGAAAATTGACGGGAAGTATAAGCCTACCAGGTTTACTTTTTATCGGTTTAACACTTTTTTTTTTTATCTCGATTATGTACGTGAGAAGGTGCGTATGTACACATGACATTTTCATATCACTGAGAAACGCGTACATTTTTAGCATTAAGAATATCTTGCGATAACGAAAGAAAGCTTTTCGTTTTATTAAAGCAATTTGTATAAACAAGAAAGAAATTGGTAAATAAAAATTTTCGATTTGTTATATCAATGAAATATTTTATGAAATAATGTAGAAGATATATATTATTAAAATATAAGATAAGTGAGAAACTTTCACCTCGTTTCCTGCGATGGATAATAATCGGCAAGTGAAATAAAAATAATACAGATATAAAGTAAAAATAAAATATAAATGTGAAAGGAGGAACGTCGAGCAAAATTATATAGTAGAAATAATAAATATTTGCTTTCGAATTCGTTTATTATAAATAACAAGATGTATTTGTTCAGTGCGCACGTGTCCTTTAATCATTATAACGTATTTTATATGTATTCAAGCTCCGCGTCTAACAATACGTATAGTTCGCTCTTACTGTACTTACTATATTTCATTTACTCTTGAGTCATTAACGTCACGAACTCAATATGCTTCGCGCTACGATAGATAGAGTACAGCGCGAAAAAAAAAAAGAAAAACAAACGCATTGTAAGTGTGACAATTCAACTGAAATAAAAGAAATAAAGAAAAAAGAAAAAAAAAACGAAAGAGAAAGAAAGAAAGGAAACATAAAATATTTAATCTCGTCGCGCATTGAACGATCTCGCGTAAGATCGTATCGACGGATGAAAACGATCGATCCCATGAAAAAACGTTATATATATTTTATTTTCGGTCCTTTTTTAAATCCGGATCGTTTAATCGTATAATATGAGATAAAATCTCGTAATATGAAAGAAATTAATATAGTAAAATACGATTCGTCGTGACGTATGCAAAAAATGAGTACTCATTGATCCACGAAGGAAATTTTTTTCACTTTTCTTTTGCGTTTTTCTTTTCGTTTCGTTTCGTTTCGTTTTATCTACGAGATATCATTTCCAATTTTGTTATACATACATTACTGATATGCACTTCGAGAAGATTTTCTTGACGAAGAACCGTATCATTAAGAGATCGGACCGACGATCGAAAATTTAAAAAGCAGCGTTCGCCGAATTCTCCTTCGTCGATATGTTTAATCGAATGCAGGTATTTTATATATATATATATATATATATATATATATATATATGTATATGTATATATATATATATATATATATATATCGATAGTCTAATTGTAATTTCGAATGATCCGTTCTATTACGCGATTAATCTAACAGTCGGCTTGAATGTTTGATAACGAAGAGTGAGAAATAATACGGGAACGTAGGATATATACGTATATTATTGGCGGTGTATCGGTAGTTCTTAGAGGCTACGTTATTCTTACTTACTTAGAGCTCACGTCAGCAATTTTTTTAATGCGTGTGTTATCCTTTTCAATTCTCGCAAATCGAGCCACGAACTTCTCTAATATAAAGCTGTATACTATTTTTTTCGCGACAGTCTAAACAACGCGTCATAGATATACATACATCTATTATACATACATATATCCGGTTTCTCATTATAAACTTTCTCGTCTACGTGGAGCGACTAAGTCTTATCCTCGAAATCTTTTTAGTATTTTTATAATTTTCTCGTCTCTTTGTGCTTTGACAATTTGTCGTTACGAAAACGAAAGAAAAAGAATATATATGTATATATATACATACATACATATATATATATATATATATATATATATATATATATATATATATATACACAATACGATCGTCCGATTAAACGTGACACGCTGCACGAGAAGCAATGGCTCGTTCTTATCTTCACCTATCACAAAGGTGAATGCACAAAGATACGACAAAATTTAATACAGAGAAAATCGGAAGGAATCTCATCACATACAAAACTAAAGGCGGAGTGGAACTTTCGAAAGCTACGTAGTACAACATCATGTAGCAGGCACGTCTTATCATATCACGCTAGAGGCTTGAAAAAGCCAGGTATAATATAACCATGCGGATGTACCAAACCAGATCTTTTTGACTTATTATTTTCCTTTAACGACTATCTATCAAATATACTCTTCTACTATGATTTTTCTTTCTATACGTACATCCTCGCACTCAAACGCACATCATTCATCGTCATTTTTTTCCTCTATATGTATTTATTCCATATGCGCTTTAAAATAAAATAATAAAATGGTGCGAACGGTGCACAAACGTAAACGCGTGTATAGGCGTTTTCTCTCGTTTTCTCGTTCTCTCTCTCTCTCTCTCTCTCTCTCTCTCTCTCTTGCTCTCGCTCTCTCTTTCCATAATGCCCTTTTATGGCAGGGAAAAAGGATCGATGGAAAATCTTTTTTTTAGAACGGACAGTAACACAAATTCTACACCAATCCGTTCTCAAAAGAATTTTTCTGTATAACGCGAAGAATTTGTCCTTCTTATCAGCACCTAAATCGCGAAAAGTCCGACGAAAATTCGACGAAAGAAGAGTCGATTGTACGATCGATCGACTTGTTTCTTAGATCTTTCGATTTCATCCTTAGGCCAATGGACGACGAGTAATATAGCGAACTCTCTCTCTCCGAGGACACTTTGAGGCAGCTAATTAGCAGCATCCATCATTTTTTTTATTATTTCTCCGTAATATCGTCTGAAATTTTTTACTACCAACGACGAAACTTCACGCTTTTGGGTACTATATCTTCATTTCTATTGTTGAAACGATTTATCGATCGTTTCTTCCTTCGAAAAAAATCGATAGACATGGTTGTTGATGGATTTCAGTCTCGGGAAAGCGCGATTTGTTCTTTTTTTCTGTACAGTACCACCGTATTATTTCTTCTTTTCTTTTCATTATTTTGATTTCTTTTTACACATGTATGTATTTTCGTATATATATATATATATGTGTGTGTGTGTGTGTATGTTTGTTTGTTTGTGTGTGTGTATATAAGTATGTCTGTGTGTATATATGTTTTTGTATATTTATTAATAGTACTTGTGAATGAAATAATATCATATTGCGAGTTCTTGTTTCTTATGTATCTGCATAAATTTCATACCGTTCATAAATGTTGGCATAATTTATAAAGAAATTGCTAAATCATATCGTTTAATATTCCTTAAACGGTTTGTAAAATTTGTCTCGGTGTAAAAGTCGCGAATTCGTTGTGTGCTCGTAAATTTACGAAAAAATTAACTTATCCGCGATTATTCATGAACATTCATTCGATGATAGTTTTTACTGATTGACTTGACTTTTTTTTTTTTAAAATCTCGCTCCCTTACGATATTGTCGTCGCTGTTAGTTTTGTTCACGGCGACAATGGGCGTCGTCGAATTATCGCAGAAGTATGGTGTGTGTATGTGTTTTCTTCCTTTTTTAAAGGCGTCGTAACAACGTCTTAAAATTTTAATAATAAAAATGTTCATTGTTTAAAATCACTTTTAAAATATTCAACATCGATTTTAAAATTATACGAACTCGTTAACTTTTTAAATAGTTATTTGTTTCGCCCTCTTAACATTAGAAAATTTGTGATCAGTCACTTTTTAAAAATGTAACATTTGGAAATTACTCGATAATAAATTTTTCTCTTTTTCTATCTCTCTATCTCTCTCTCTCTCTCTCTTTCTTTCTTTTTATCTTTTTTACTTCTTTCTTCATTTTGTAAAATAACAACGCAGCGTCGCATAATAGTTATATCGACTAACTTTTGTTTAAGATAAAAATAGTGAAAATTAATTATAAGAATAAAAAAGTCGAAAGCAAAAAAAAAGATATAATAGAATCGAACTAAACTGAAATCGCAGTCGAAAATAATATGTTACGGTACCACCTCGAAAAGAAATTAAAACGAATGCCACGACGATCGTTGTTTCGACGAAACCTTGAAGTTATTTATCGTCATCGTGTTGTTTGATCTATCGTCGATTAGGTAGTTTTTATTATTTAAAAAGAAATTAACGGAGGTGGTTGTTGTTCATCGAGAAACATTTAGCAAACCACTGCTTCCGATATGGGATTCTCGGTGATGTGTATAGTTGCTGTAGGCCAATCGATTTTCTTGCTGCAAACATGATTCAGTCCTTCGAGAGAGGCCAATCTATAGTCGGCCATCTTCAATGGCGAAAGTGGGGCCACTGAAATAGAAAAATCAGTGCACATTTTTTAAATTGTCTTTATCGTTATGTCGATACTTTTTTTTTTTCGTTCTTCCTCGTGAGCTTTTAGTAATCCGATCAGCCATGACTCGCGCGTTCTCTTTCCTTGTTCGAATACATAAGAGATACACGCGAAATAAATAATCATCGATCGAAGAATGAAAGTAAAAAAATCAAAGTGGCAAGCACGCATGCAAAGTAAAAGTAGAGAGTTGAGTGTATCGTTTGTGATCGTACAATGTTGGATTTTTCACGTTTATATATTTGTATTTCATGTTGCGCGCGCGCGCGCGCGCACGTGTGTGCGTGTGTATCTATGTGTATGTGTATTAGTATCTATGTGTGTATGTGTATTAGTATCTATGTGTGTACGTGTATTGGTGTGCGTATAGCAGGACACAATGTGATTTTGCACAAACTGAAATATTCTACTACCCAGATGCGGTGTTCTTTCTTTCATAGATAAAGATTATTCCGAGGTCCTACCATCGGTATGTGCCGCTACAACAAGAGACGCTTTTTCTCTGCACAACATAAAAATTCTAATTTACAAATCACCTGCACGAGAAGATAGCGCAAAAGGTCGATTGCTGCCACTTTTGTGACGTAACTCGATTTTATAAAGCTCTAATTTATCGATTATCGGTAAGAAATTTTCTCTCGTACCGACTATTGATAAACGTCTTAGTCAAACGAGCGAATTCGTTTACTGAGAATTAATTTTTTTTTATACATCATATATAATTATTTAATTAATTTCTTAATGCTTCTAGATCTTTAATTTTCTTTACGAATTCGCTCGACAGAAATAATCTCAATATTTATAATGGTTAAGTAAAGAATAACATATGGATATAATTAAAAGATGTGGAGGAGATACAGAGTTTGACAAAACTGTTATTATTTTGTTATATGCAATAAAAGAAAAGGTAGTTAGGAATGTGATTGATTATTTTAACAAATTAAAGATTAAAAATCTCAAACAGTTAGAAGATATTATTCATAATTCCAAATTCACAAAGAAGTAATATCGTAATACCCGAAGAAAAGGTGGTGGTTAGTTTCAATATTTCATAGATTCTCTTTCAACAAACGCAGCCCAGGTTACCCAATTTGTTATTGAAAATACAATAATCGCCAATTAGTCTCTCTCTCTCTCTCTCTTTATCATACTTTCCGATAAAAGTTTAAATTCCGACTTACTTAACACATAGATGTGGCCTAATTGACCAACTGCGCGCTCGACTCCTTGCGACCTTCAATTCCTAATTACAATTACCTTCGGGTGTTGTCGGCGTCATGGGCTTCCGCGAGGATCTCACCGCTAAAACGCATAAAAAAAAAACAAGGTCATTTAAACATCAAAATTATCATATTGGTTATAAACTATTATGAGCATAAAGCAAATTTTTTTCAAATTTACTCCTTTAAAGAAAAGTCCGATATAAGAATAAAACAATTATAATGTATCAGTATGTAAAAGCAAAACAAGCTTCATTCCTCGTTTGGCTCATGTCCACAAATGTTAGGTAAAAATTTATATTCTAACGTGATAAAATATGTAGATTTAAAATATATATTTAGAAGTACAAGTCGTATCTTACAAAATGGATATGAGCAATGACGAAGAAAAGCATTTTTATTTTTTACCTAAATTCTTTTTATGTGTATCTCTTTAAAAACATCACATTATTTCTAATAAAAGTGTGTTATTTAGACGCACATAGCTGACGCGATCTTAGCAAAAATTAAGGAGAAAAAAAAGCCAAGAAGCGGAAACTAATCTATCATCTATTCTGTTTAGATCTGATATAATAAATACGTACCACTCGATCGATCCGAGACGCGTGGGAAATAAAGGCGCAAGTTGGTGAACAAGTACTTTTTTCATTTGCCTTTTGTATCTCTTTCTTTTTTTTTTTTTTTTTTTTTTTTATATTTGTTTATTTATTTGTTAGTATCTTTTTTTCTTTCTTAAGAACCTCACAAAAATAAAATGATAATGGTGGTGAGACGCAAAAACGAATTCACTTGATTCTTTCCTTTTTAAATACTCTTTTATTTATCAAGTCGAGCCGGTGATTAACCGGGACAGAGTACATGATCAAGGACCTAGTTGGATCTTGGTATTTCTCTCAAAATCATGTTATATCAATGATATCGACCGAACGATTTTCGATTACTTTTCGATAACGATAAAAGCATCACATATAAGCTTTTTTTAATTTTCCAATTAGGCGCAATATTGTCAAGCGTAAAGCTTCAAAACACGAAGATCCAAGCGCGATGGACATCCCCTCATTAGTACAACATGAAACCTTTACGCGAATTATAATAGTGAAAATCGTAACAACAACAATAATTAACGACGATGACGATGATGACGACGACGACGATGATGACGATGATGACAATGATGGCGATGATGACGATGACAGAGATAATCAACCGAAATTGGCATTTAACAACAGCTTGGGCGTACTGGGTAGCATTCGCAGATTTTCTAACTATTGCATAGTCCATCATATCAAACTCAAACAATTTCAATTTGCTTTGCTTACGCGTACGCTATCCATTTGAAAATAATTAAAAAGAGTGAATGGCGTCATACCGATAAAAGAAACGTCTAATCACGAATTAGGTCGGAAAACGATGTTTCATTAGTCGACATCGACCGATAGAGATAAAAAAAAGCTGCTATATGTTCTGTAATATGTGCTAGTGTTTCTATAATCAAAAAGCCAAAAACAAAAGAAAAAATTTGAACGTCGCTCATTTTCACTACTTTTGCGTACTATAGATTTGATTCTCATAAGCGTACTCCACGTTTTTTCTTATAACAAACAAAAATAAAAAATATGTTATACGTGAAGATTGCAGTTGCAAAAGCGGATATTAAAATAAAAATTCTAATCAAAATGGTTCGTTGTTGAAATTAACGTCTTAAAATTGTCCTAAGAATATCATCTATTCGGAAAGTTAGGAGTACCTTCAAAAATCTTGACGGCTCTAACGAGCTTGACGCTTTTAGCGAAATTATTTCTTATTTTCTATCTCTGGCAATTTTTTAAACAAAATATGAAATAACAGATAGACATACTATATTCATACAATTAAGAAAACTTTTCGATATACCGAGTACGTCCGTGTTCTAAAAGCGTAAATTCGTTGGTCAATGATCTTTAAAGTTATTGAAGAACGCGAGAATAAAGGATAGTCAACGGTCGGTATCGTAGATACGCTGTACTACATGTCTACAGTACAATACTACTCTCTTTAGGCCAAAAATACTGATAGCGATACGATACGATCTATGTCAATCGATGAGGGGAAACAAACTTAGAACTACAAACGTTCACGAATTAATTTTTCTCTCTTTGATACAACTCGTGGAGAAATATTTCTTTAAGCAAATACGGGACCATCTGGTGTATAAAAAAGAAAAAGAAAAAGAAAAAGATAAAAAGTTCGATCGATGCCGTATGGGCATAAACGATATACATATGTATATGTATGTATGTATGTATGTATGTATGTATGTGTTTGTACGAGCTATTTACAGAAACTCCCGATCGATATTCGAGTACGCCTTGAAAAAAGGGAATCCTCAGAAGTTTCTCGATCCTTTGCGAGTCTCCGCGTTCTGTTCTCGGGAGCAGTAAAATGCAGGTAACAGGCAAATTTTTCCCCGCTACCAGACGGTCACGTGCAATTCACCTATGAAATATGCTTGCGCGTGTGCGATACGGTCGAATGGATGAAGATCGATGAGGATTACCGAATTATATTCTTGTTAATTTTAATTCTAACTTGTTTTTCGCGACGGCACTCACTTACCATATCCTTCGCCTTGAAGAAACAGTCGAAAGGCCTCGCTTACTTTGCCCGGTTGTTCCTCGAGGACCATACCGCAATCAGAGATCTGAAAATCGTATAATGATTTGGTCGAATGAATGATTCAAAAAGAAATCGAAAGTGAAAGTTAAAATCGAGTTTATACGTCGCAATCAATACGAATCGAATTTAACGAGAAACAACAAGCAGGTGTTTACTTCATTTATTTACGTACATGTACGTACTAGTTGTATGTATATATATATATATATATATACAAGAAACACTACCGTAGGTTACGAGTTTGCGGTTTAAATGGATTTCACACGATGGTATGCTACACCGAAAAAAGAGATCAAAGTGTTGGAATTTGGCTAGCCATAGGTAAATACTTTCTCCAGATTCATGGAAAGCTGATTATTCGATACGTTCAAGAATTCTCACCTTCATCCAGGTGCTGTTCGTTGGATCTAACCGCCCATTTAACGTAACCGTGTCGTCCACGTGCGGACTCAGAGCACCTGTAATGTTCATTACTGGTACGCTAAGCGTTAAACCTTCCTTCTTGCGCGTAGGATCCAGTTCTCTGGTGATATTCAAATCAGTACGTCGCACGTAACTGTCGATGAATAATGCTAGATTTATTGGGTTCACGCGATGTTCGAAATAATTCTTGTAGACTTGAACGAGGTCATGGTTTCTTTCTTCTGTACCCTGAAAAAAAAATCGATTAAAAATTCTTATCGATATAATAATTCCTTATTTCGATTATTAATTCTGCGATTTTTCGTACAACCATTATAATCTTCGAACGAATCGATACGTGGAACTCTTGGATTTCTTTTTCCCTTATCCATTTTATAATGAATATAAAAAATAAACGAAAATTGGAACGGTATGATTGTTCCGGAGAAATCTTAGGTAAAAAGGCTTCGTCGAAGTAATTTTCGAGTTTGACTTAACTATCATCATCAAATTGAGTTCCTCTTTCATTATGTACATACGTATATCGTTATGGTAATATTTAAGCGCAAACTTTCTTTCCTTTCTCTTTCTCCTTCTTCTTCTTTTCTTCTTCTTCTTCTTCTTATTCTTTTTCCTCTTCTTCTTCTTCTTCACTAAATATATCTATACTCTACGTTATACCCGGTAAACCTATTAAGAAGCTACGTGTTGCATAATAAGAGCGACGAAATTGCTGCTGACGCGCTAATCCAATTTCTCGCCTCATATAGATGCGTTCACGAGCGAATGCTGTTGAAGGAGCTTGAAGCTTTGTCATCGATAATTCCTTATACGCTTTCACCCGAACGTCGTCCGCTTGATCGATTCGACGAAGTATCGAGCGTTTGAGTTTAGTCAAATGGCACGCGTATCTATCGAATAAATCTCTCAAGGAGAAGTTTAACTATAAACGATCACGCTATTATAATATATACCTCTATATATACGTGTATATATATATATATATATATATATATATATATATATATATATATATACAGTAAGAGTTATTTTAAAGGAAATTAATTGCGAAGTATATCGAGGCAGTTTCTTTTTAAAAAAAAAATCAATGAATTAATAGATATATAAATACTAATAAAAATTACAGATTATAATTTACAATAGTTTTGTATTAATTAATTATTGAATTGATTAATAGATACCATTATAAACTATAATTTATAATAGTTATGCATAATGATAAAAATAAGAATTTAAATAAAAATTTAATAAACTGTTTACTTAAACTCAGTTCTGACTTAATCTAATATATAGAAACATTGTTTGATAAATTATAATATCGTAAATGTGATATAATTACAATAAAAATGTTCCTGCTTCGATATAGTTTCATTGAATTTCTATTATGTAGAACATCTTACCCTGCCAAAATGATGCCACATGAGATAATCAAGGACGCTCTGCGTCATTCCCTGTGACCTCAGATGACGAACGTTGAGCTTTTGATAACCCCATTCGATCCATCCTGCTTGCGTAGATACGCAATTGATCAAGCACAGTGCATTGACCTTATCTGGATGTGCAAGTGCAAATCTAGCCAATATATTGGCTCCCGCACCAACCCCAAAACCAATGACAGATCTCAAACCGAAATGGCCGAGGACAAAGAGCAATTGTTCTGCTAACTCTTCCATGGATGGATAAACATAACTATAATAAAACATTAAAATTTTTAGAAAGCTTATTTGATAATTTGTTTCATTATTATGAAAAACATATGTCGTTGATAAAAATTCATCGTCTCCGAAATCTCTATTTAAATTAACGGGTTTACACTTTGACGAAAGATTTCGAAGAAACTTCGTTCAATTGAATCATTCTATACGTTCTCGTTGAACTTGGCACGCGAACGAGAATGTGGCAGAATGTAGTAATAGTTCAAGCTACTGCGTGCACAGACATCAGCATTGCTCGTTACATAATTTTCTATCTCGATTCATGCGACAGAATTACAACTTATGTATCTTCGTTCTTTCGCTATATAATTATTACGACTCATGTTATACGTAGTCATTTTTTCATCCAATAAAAAAAAGATATATATTTATATATGTATAAATATCGAAATAATGTTTATTTTTAGCTTTCCATTTTCAATAACTCTTATCAAATCCTTACAATCGCAAAGAATTCAAAAATCGCGGAAGAAGAAGGCATCGAAGAACGACATCAATGAAAAATGAAACGAAAGCAGGCTATACTATAGGGCTTCGATTAATTAGAACGTTAATAAGGTCATTGATTATTACGTTAATTAAATTCTCCCACAAGCTAACCTTCTTAACTAATCGCGACTACGAGCGTCATATTACCAGGTAGAATACGAGATATGTAAGTACATGTGTAAATGTAAGCAAGTAGTGCTTTCCATAATCCCGTACCTGTGATAATCTGTTTTTAATTAGCAACTTCGTTAGCACCGTCAAGAGACTTTATTGTTTCGTACACATGTATGTAGGCGTATCCGTAAAACGCACGAGCATACTGATTTCGCGAGACGAAAAGTACCTGTGTGTTTCTTTGACGAAACGTGTTTTTTATTACGTTCGTAAACATAATTATGCGCGTGTATATATACTGTACATGAATACTCACTCTTCCTGAAGCGCCAGTGCATTTTCCTCTTGACCAGGTGCGTTAACATGATAGACGCAAAAGTTTTCGAGGAGAACGCGCATGTCGATGTAATTGAAGAAAGCTTGGAAGCTCGAGATATCTAAAATAATGAAATTTCATTTTGTTTGTTAAGTATCGTATCGATAATCGTTTTATCACGTATAATCGATAGTTGTTTTATCTAATCGTTTATTTTTTATTATATTATATGTCTTATGCATGTATATAAGAAATTAATTTAATTTATTTCAATTACAATTGAACTATTATTTAATTCTCATTTATTAGTAGAATAATTAAATAAAATTTTCTTAATTCTTCTTCATTGGGTGTAAAAAATAATTTAGTAGTTAAAACGGCGTATTATTTTCAAAAATAATTTACATTGTTTCAATAAATCGTTTATGCTACAAATCTGAAAAGTTTGCCCTTGGAAAGTTGCCAGGTTATTATCATGATGTATCACGCGAACGTAGATATTTTACAGATGATGGTAAAAATATCGATACTCTTGCAAGAAGCTTTTATTTTCTTCTTTTTATTATTTTTTTTTCTTTTTTTTTTCTTTTTTTTTTTGACGATTAACCTAACCTTTCCAAACAAAGAAATAGAAAAATTTTCTTTAAATTTTCTTCAATACTTACAATTAAGGCCTAAATCGTGGTAGGTGAGGATCGCTGGTTTTGTCTGGTTTCCTTGTACGGCAACAAGCAGACTACCTTTATCGGTTTCTACTCTTTCTTCTCGTACAGAGCTATCGTCTCTCGACAAATACCTCAGAGCCGGAAACTGTAGCTGAATATTCTTCAACTCGATATCGTCCATACTATCTCGCATGCACGAAGGCATCGTGCTGCGCATGGAAAAGAATTCTCTTGATTATATCAGTTTAAATAAATGAAAAATCGTTCATTGGGTGTATGTACGTTTCACGGAAAATGACAAAAAAAAAAAATAGATATATGACTATCATAGTCGACAGATTTTTTTTTTCTTTATATAACGTTTCTATATTGTTTCTGACGAAAAAAAAAAAGATAAATAAATACAAACTTCGTTTTAAATATAATATATTAAAGAAAATTTTGATTAATTTTATAAACTGAATCGCATATAAATGAGATTAAATATCTTTCTTCTTCGTTAATACAAATAGAAAGAAAAAGAAAGAATTAAATAAAATAAAGAGATCTCTCGTATTAACTGATAACTTATTAAATATATTAATTTTTTCGAAGCCAATTAGCAGTGAAGTATACTGTGAAAAACATATTGTAAACTATCGATATTATCCACGTTTCCATTCATGACTCGAACCAATTTTACTGATTACATAATACTATGTTTACTTTATAAATAAATGGAATTTCGTTTCTGTTTTTGTAAAAACGGACCTATTAAGGAGATAGTAAATCTAAAAATAGTAAATGTTAGAAAAAGTGATGTCATTTTCTGTTTGTTTTTCTCACTTATTAGAAATCACATTCACGCATTAGAATTTTCTAGAGATATCTTAATTCTTAAACTCTTTCAAAGTTCTCAAAGAGAGTTCATGAGACCTTAACCATGCACCATGAAAGTGCATTTAAACGAAGCCGTGCGATATGCAATTGCCCCACGCGGTATGTACCCAGCAAAATTATAACTCGCTGAATTACTGGCCTCGTTGTATAACGAGTCGTTTCTCATCAAAGGATTAATTTTTATATAGTTTTTTCTCCTATTTTATTTTTTTCTTTTCTTTTTTTTTCTTTTTATTTTTTTTGCTATTCAAATTTTCTCTTTTTAGCTTAGCCATCATTTTTACAGGATCGTTTTACGAGACAAAAGGTAAAAATGAAAGAACGACTCAGTTAAAAGCTTTTTCAAAGTCTCTATACACTTGTGCATACCTGAATGAGAACACGTAATATCATTAAAAAACAGCAAGTTGTTAAGGTACACAGAGATACGAGCGTGTCTATCCTAGATAGAGCTTTCGTCTGATCTTTTTATGGTATCGATCTGAAGACCACGCCCAGTCGAACGGAGTAAACTCGAACAAAATGCATTTGAACAATATTCTAACGAGTGCGCATTAATTAGTTAGGAAAATCATAGTCCTCCTCTCATATTTGAATAATTAATATTTATTTTAGAATTGATTCTCTCAATGAAAATTTTCTAGATTAAAAATTGAAATAATGATAATAATAAAAAAGAAAAGAAAAAAGAAAATATAAATGTTCAATAACGAACAATTTACTCGTCTTAATTGCGTGGCTAGTAACGACCCACATTCGTAAGAATTTATGTAGAGTCTTTGAAGTCTCCCTTGTTCGTGTAACCTCGATATAATTACCTAGAAAAATGTCAAGAACCCCACGTGACCCTTTCATGCGACTAGCGTTCTAGGTAAAGCGTAAAATTAAAAGACCTTCCTTGTTTCAAGGAAAATGTCAAAGGATAAGATAGTCAGGTAGTAGAATAGAGAAAATGTTATTATCATGAAACTTAACAAATTGTTCTGGAAGTTTATTACGATGTAACATTGCTTTCCTCTCACTCCTCATATAAAACGAGTAGACAAAGCTCGCAAGGAAGAAGGTCGTCTATCCTCTTTTATGTCTCCAAGGAGAAGCTTTTGCTATCTTTGCTGTCTACTTTATTAAATATCATGTCCGATTAAACACTTACGTGTGTTATTTTCTTACTTTATTTTTTTGTTCGTTATTAGCAATTAATCTTTATAATAATCGATCACTTCGTGTCACTCATCAATTAATAAATCTTTTATTTTAAATCTTAAATAATATTCTTTTTCTTTTTTCACAAATATGTAACACAAATTATTCGAAATAATTCGAGTTACTTTTAGAAAGATATCGGCAAAAGAAACAACAAAGGAAACAGATATCACCTTATGGCGACTACAGTCTACGATCAATACGTCTATAAAGAGAACTGCATTGTGTCGAGCTACATACATGGAAATCGTAATTTGGAACGCAAAATTCAAAGAGCACACCTCGAGTCAATTTTCATTGAAACTTTTAGACCATTCAATTTTATTTTCGAAGGATTGATCGTTTAATAGGGACAAAATTTATTTCTTACAATCTTATTATTAAATGAATAACATTATCTATATTTTTTATTAATTAGAATTTTCGTATATATCTCGTTACGAACAATTTGTAACATTATTTTACACGAGACATTTTATATATTTTAATTTCTTCATGAAATTTCACGATAGAACGAAGTTCTTTACATTTCTCCATAGAAATTATTTGGTAATATTTCTTTCTTACCCTTCTATTCGTGTTCTTTTCGTATCAGCAAATAAAAGATACAAAATAAAAGTTATCAACGTCAAGTTAGTTAGCATTCCAAACACTATCAAACGGGGTACATGCGTAAGTGCTTCTCCGTATCTCGTACACGTCAGACTCTCATTTCCGGTCAAAGTTAAATCCGGTTTGTATTCCAACTACCTACTTTGGAACGTCGACGATAACGTGTAAATGACGATATACAAGATATCAACCATGGTACTACATGAAATTACTATTATTTTCTCTTTCCTTATTACGTTCTGTTTCTTATAACACGTTTCCCTTAAATTTGAAAGTATAAAGAAAAAATTGAGAGGAGTATTAACCACGAGGGACAGATGGGTGGCTTTGGGAACATGATATTCCGTAATTTTATATCTCCTTGGTATCCTTTTTATCAATCGATTAACCGGACCTGATTTTTTGTGGTTTTATTATACCATAGTCAATGTATAGTCATAAAAGTAAAACGATGCTGCAAAGAAGGGGATCGATTTACATCCTGTTTTATCGGTAGCTCGTATTTTCTTCTGAAATAAAAGAGATAAGAGAGAGAGAGAGAGAGAGAGAGAGAGAGAGAGAGAGAGAGAGAGAGAGAGAGAGAGAAGAGAGAGAGAGAGAGAGAGAGAGAGAGAGAGACAGAGAAAGAGAGAGAAAGATGGAGAAAATAAATAAAAAAAATAGTTCATGCATTTATGCATAAAACACAAGGATGTATAACATATATACATATGTATATGTATAACACGTTAAAAGAAAAGCCATACCACATTCCAAACGCGACAATTTATATTTACTTTTTCTTCCTTTCCTTTTCGAGCGCTCCAATCGAACAGAAACTATACTTCAAACAAATTAAACTTTAACGAAGGTCGCCAGGAATGAGTGTTCGAACGGATAAAGAAAAATGAAAAGAGGCCAGAAAGAGAGAGAGAGAGAGAGAGAAAGAGAGAAAAAGAGAGAGAGAAATCACTTAAATTTAAAAGAACGATCGTACTTTAAATAATAAATTCCATGCGTTCGTTACCTCCATTATCAGTCAGTTCCTCTCCTTTTCTTCTCTCTATCATATGGTAAATTTAAACGATAAGTTCTGTTCAAGGCTTCATTTTAACTCACCAAAATGACTTGTACGATCCTGGTTAGTTCGCGCGTAATACGACTTGCGAATAACGTCGATAAAGAGATATCTAGATCAAGGACGTCTCTTCGATAATATCAATCGCGACAGGGAAACTTCTTTTTTCTTCTATTTTTCATTATATCAATTTATTTCTTTTCTCTCCCAAGAAAGAGATCATATACGATTATTAATGACGCTTGTTTTTTTTTTGTACGATCTTGGAAAAGATCAAATGTTCGTAATACTCTCAATATATAGTAACGTTTATGACGTAGAAGAAGAAATCATCGATCAACTCGTCCGTACGAAAACATAAATCAAACTTTAGAGAAAGAGAGAGAGAGAGAGAGAGAGAGAGAGAAAGAGAAAGCTTGTAGCAATGAATACAGAAGGAATTGGCTTCTCGCCAAATTCCATTAAACGAATTTTCGGCTGAAAGTAGAACGAGTGACGACCTAACGTGATGTCTCCTTATTTTCTCAAAAAAAAAAAAAAAAAAAAAAAAAAAAAAAAAAAAAAAAAAAAAAAAAAAAAAAAAAAAAAATGTATTTATAATTTAAAAACGAGATTCGAAAAAAGAAAAAACAGAAACGTTCGAAAGACATAATAAGTCCTTGTCATATATATAATTATATTATACTAGTATAATTATTCTAAATTACTTTACTTCGAAGATCTATGTTATTTTAATTATCATCATTATTACTATCTACAAAAGTAGACTGTTTTTAAAAGTTCATGCCAAATTATGATACTAAATACATCCGCGAAGTTTAAGGGGTCTGAAGAGTAAGACAATTAATCCTTATCGATTGTTCATAATGGAAAATATTGGTTTATAACCATTAGAACGATATTATGCATTGTCTTTAATTGTATCAATGATGAAGCGTATTTTGTGCATTTAACACCACGATTTTTCGATGATAATCGATGAATTCATCGTATCGTAATGATGCGACAACCCGTGCCGATCGATCGTAAACTTATTAACGAGTACGCGTTAATAATAAATCCTTGTGCTGCTTCAACGCCATCCTTTGTCGTCTTAATTAGAGTAGTCAAACCACAAAGGTGCTTTGTCGGTCGTTTCGCGATGATACGGTAAGAATCTGTAACAAGCATCTAGTTGCATCCTAACACATAGTTGCATTAATGCTGTATTTGCACGATTAGAATTAAGTCGATACTGTGTGTTTAAAGTTAATAATAATTATTATATCGATTGAACATATTTAGCTTTTCAAATATATAATATTCCATGCAAATCTTGATTCGATCGTACGATATTTCTAAAAAAAGAAATTGAAAAATCAATAAATCTCATTTGTGACAAAGTAAATCATCAGGTTGAACGATTCTTTCCTTTCATCGTTAAACATAAATCTCAAATATCAGAAGTTAATGTCGATTTCTCAATAAATAAAATTCATACCTTCAAAACGAGCATAGATTAATATCGAAGAATCTTTGGAATATAGACCGATGACAAAATCTAATCAAATCGCCAATGCTCAAGGATAATACGAATAATACGATAAACCTCACGCTGGTTTGTCTCTCTCTCTCTCTCTCTCTCTCTCTCTATATATATATATATATATATATATATATATATATATATATTTATTAAGAACAAGAGTTAAAACTACTCTAATTCTAAGCAATTTTCGAACTAGGCCAGAGCAGAAATGATGAAGAGCAAAAAGAAAAAAGTATCTAATATGAGAGATATTAACAACTACAAGGGATTTTGAACAAATTCATTCTCTCGTCGAACCTTTCTCACACGAACTTACCCCAATAGTGCAGTTTTCTCGGCGGTAGCGGCGGTTGGCATCTTGTTTCTGTCCCTAGAACAAAATGGCGGCAAATAATATCACACACACCCGGTCCCTGGGGTTTTGCTCACGTAATTTCGTCTCCTCGATCACACAAATCACAAAGCATAATCGACATAATTTTATGGGGATCTATACAATCAGATGATCTAAGAATTCGACTTTCTTACGATGTCGTTTATTTTTTATTACTTTCGAAACTTCACGTATTGATTTTTCAAAACTTTGATCTAACCATATTTATCACTTTAAAAGTAATCATTCTTTGATCGAATTTGAACATCTATTCGTAGGAATCTACTGGGTCAGTCGATAGAACTCAGGAAACGAGGAAAAGTTAATGGACGTTAGCTCAATGAGATCTAAAGTTTAATGCAATGTTGACCGAGTTTGATCGAGTTCGAACGTGGCTGAAAAGGTAAAATGGAAGACCATTGAAAATTTAACATGTTCGCTTATAAACTTTGTAAAAAGGATAATTTTATACATTTTGATCGCTAAAAAGAATATTATTTGAAAAAAGAACTTAATAATTATCATTAAACAAACAATAATTAACTTTCGAATCGTATTATCTGTTTACAAAGAAGAAACGTTTTTAAAAATTGGAGTTTCGAAAGTAAAATAACGCCGTCGTATGTAATGAAACCTCGTCTTGAAGTAGACATCCTCGAGGCATCATGACCACGCCTCGATCTTTCGAGTCGATCGCCTGGAGTCCCTCAAAGCGAGGAGCCGGTTCCGCAACGTGTTCTCGTTTCCGCCGCGCGTCACGAAACGACGCGCTGACGCAACTCGAGCGTTGCAAGGACAAAGAAAGAAGGGTATACAACAACAGGTATATAACAATAACAACTTTGTACAAAGCCCAATAATGAACATAGAGATAAGGAAATTACGATGAAAGCAAGCTTTTTAGAAGCTATGTACAATCGAAAAAATAAAAAATAAAAAAAAAAAATACAGAGATAAATAAAGAAATAAATAATAATGATAAAGAGAACTATTCATGTGCCATGTATAAATCATGCCGTGCTCGAAGCGTGTTAAGCAAGAAGCTTCGTATTTTCTCTGTTCGACTCGCGTGATGCGGCTTACCTTCTGGCCTGCTTTTCTAGTCGAGGCCGATCAATAGTCGCGGCAGCAACTTCCGGTCCTAAACTCCTACTATCCATTTGGCCAAAGTCCCTTGCTTGAACTTTAAGCTCGAGCCCGAGTCAATTCGATTATCGCGCGAACGAGATTAGCTTCTTTCGAGATTTTTTGTCTTGCTATTTGATAAATCAAACAACTTTAAGAGTTCCTGTTCTTTAATTCGTTTATTGGATTCCTTGAAATCTTTGGTATATTTAAAGAGCTCTTCGATCGTCATTGGAAAAACAAAGATTATTTTCGTCATGATCAATAATAGATTTATTTACTTTAGCAAGATAGTTCGAAAGGCAAACAATTATCGTTCAGAGCGATACGAAATCAGGATGTAATCAATTTCTTTTACGTCCAGCAAAAAACTGGCGAATATAAAAAAAAAAAGCAAATCCCAAACCAAGAGATGTCTTTCGATGTCTTCGACCTCGAACCCACTTTGGGAATACTCGCGTGGAGTGTTGTTTTCTCGTGAAAACAATCGAGCGATAAGAAGCTCCGCGGTTTCGAGGTACGAAGAACAAAGGAAAGAGACAAAAAGATGAAAAGATAGGAAAGAAAAAAAAAGAAAAGAAAAGAAAGAAAAAAGAAAGTATTCTCCATTAAAATAGTTCTGGACCAGCACCTGTGTTCACCATTATCACTAATTATTCAGTCATTATTATCGCCAACAGCAGCACCATTACCATCATCAGTATCATCAGTACCATTTCCCTGTAATCCCATATGAAATTACCTTGATACGATCGAGACGCTCTCTCGTCGATCCTCGATCAATGGATCCTTCTTCCTGATCTCCACCTTTGGCGAAGCGAAGCTGAAAGCCTTCTTGACACTTTCGAGTACACTTTGACCGGTGCTCTGAGTCTGGTCGACGATCGTTGTGCTTTTGTAAACGTCTTCGCCCAGGTCGCCTAACGACCTGTACGAAGCGCCAATACCTGCCGGCATGGCGTTCCTCGCCTCTCCTCACCCACGATGACAACGTCTCCTTTGAAAAACGAGCCGCTAAGCTCGCGACGTCTTCTTCGAAGAGTTGTTTCGTGTCCCTCCCCTCCCCTCCGCTATGTTTCTTTCGTCTCCACTTCTCTCCTCTTCATTAGTTGATGATGAGAGAGTCGTGCCCGAAGTCAATATGCCAATTTCGTACGTCAACAAGGCAAACGAACGAAGGCAAAGGAACAAAAGAAAGAAGAACCAAGATAAGGAGAAAACGTCATTCTCGTGCTTGGATTTATTTTCGAGGCATCGACGAATAATTTTATTTGTTGATTCATCTAAATACTTGATGTTTTTGATAATCATAAAATCTTCGTCATTTGAATTATTTCACGAGGAATAATTTGATTTTTCATATAGAAACCCGAATTTAAATATCGTTAATATAATAATAACATCGGAACAATTTGTAGTTTTGATGAGATTATTTTTCGTAATTAACATACACATAAACGCTGGCAAATCGATGCAACGAGAAAAGATCCTCGCACAAATTCAACAAGGGCTAAAACGAAAAGATAGAAAAGTAAGGGACATATATAAATGCATGAAACGGTGCAAAGACGGCATGCAAAAAAGACTCATTGACCTCATCGTGACTGTGATAAAACATACATCGATAGGATTATGCGCGGCAACATGCTAACTGCAAAGTATCTCACCGTGCGTTGATACGTGTATGTGTGTGTGTGTTTTCTTTTATGCGTGTATGTATATATGTACGTAGATATATGTATATCATCGCGGGAAAACGTGATGATACGTAACATGCTAAGATGAAAACGATGATCGATACAATATATATCAAAATTCTTTTTCTTATAAACACGTCTTTATGTCGAATCACCGATTACGTGCATGAAATATTTAAAAAAGCGCGTGCATGCGTACAAACGAATAAGGGATGATATTAAACGCGTTAATTGATCGATCGATTCATCCATTTCAATTTTCTTCGATTGAAACAAACCTATTTATTGTTTATATTATACCTTCTATTACGATACTCAAATATAAAATATTATGGCTACTTTGACGACGTTAACGGTTCACTTTCCGAAGTTAACGGCTCACGTGTGATGTCTCGAACGAATGGAGAACAAAGTGGTGTCGTTCTCGGGTACGTAAAATAGATCGATCGTTCCTTCCTGCCTCGTCGTTGAAATTTTTATTAGAAAAATTGCTAAATGTGTTTATTACACATTTAGGACAATTTTTTTTTTTCTACAAAGATATTCATTTACAAGAATATGAAAATGAGAAATTATCTCATTAATTTTATACGAAACTTTAAGTATATTATTAATAATTGAAACTCGTAAATATAAGTAAACAAATTTAAAATATAATAAAATGTAATAAAGGAATTACTGATAATCCATTTATTGCTTAGTAGTCAACAACTATAACGATGAAACCAAAAATTACAATCCACCAGACCTAAATATAGAAAGTTCGGAAAGGGGCTTGTAGTTGGATAGAATAGGAACAAAGGATGGATTATATTCCTGTGGTCTATGTCTTAAGGTCCCTACGATATTATGGTTCGTTTAGAACAATGGACTCCGAGCTTATCGTCGCTCGTACTAGCGTTGAGAAACCAATGCATATACAGTGAAAATCTATATATAGGAATCTATATAGAGTGTCTCCATTATTTTTCGTTAATATTTTTCTATGGTTACGAATGATTTTAATGGTGAATCATATTGTCTTATTTTATCAAAACGTTTAGAAAGGAAAAAAAATGATAAAAAATAATCATAAAAATGATTAAGACTGTAGAAATATTTACGATTGATTTTAATCGAAAAGCTATTATAAGGAATATGCATTTCTAAGTATTTCTATGATTTAAAACGTATGATTAAAAATAAAGTAGAAATAGAAGTAGGTTGCACATCTCTGATAAATAACGAACAGTTTCGTGCTTTCGCATCGATTTCTTTGGGAACACGAAGGCGTCTTGACGTCGACGTCGACGTAATAGGCAGCATAACTAGAACATCTAACCTCGATCTTTTTCTCATAATACGTACGTACCTATTTTATTTTAGAGTTGAAAGAATAAAAAAAAAAAAAAAAAAAGAAAAAAGGAAAAAAGAAAATAAAGAATGCAATCGTACGATCCTCTAATTTATCTTCTTCTATAACAGTACCGATCGAAAATGCGTAAGATAAAACGTTCTAAGATAAAAAATGAATTTGTTTTAATTAACGTAAGACAGTTAAAAAAAAAAAAAAATGTCTTCGAAGCGCGAAGAGAGATCTCGAATATTTCTGGGAAATTAGCTGCGCTTCTCACAGCGTTGAACGTCATCGACAGAAGTCGCACGAGTAGCACGCACAAGCAAGAAAAATCGATCGGAATGGCTCTACGAAAGAACAATTTTGCGAAATCTCGTTAGCTGATATCTCTTATTGAACTTTTCGATGAAATGAATAATCTTAAATATTTCTTTTTCCATAATTTCGAATAACAATTGAAATTAATTGAATTTTTGTGTCGAAAGAATTTTTCATTCATATTAAAATTAATATGATTTTCGAAAACATTAAACATACTTTCAAGAAATATATACTATTTTTCTTTCTAGAAACAGAAAAAATAATATTAAAAGAAAAAAGAAAAGACAATAAAAAAATAAAAATCAAAGCAAGACAGTCCAGATCAATTTTTGGTTTCATATATATATATATATCTTATATATATATATATATATATATATATATATATATATATATATATATAAGAAAGGATCGAAGAAAAGTAATAGCCCAATTCGATGGGGCAGGAAGCAGATCGATCTAGCGCGACTCAGCTTTCGGTTGGCAGCGCCACTCGCGCGAGAACGACATCAGACGGCGGTGGCTGTGACGGCGTCATAATAATAATCCGACGGTGGTATAACGGCGTCGTCGTCATCATCGTCAGCATTGTTGCCATCATCGTTGTAACCGTCGTCGTTGTCTAGCGTGTATACTTCGTTTTAATTTACGAACTAGTACCGACCTAGTAATGACCTAATTGTGACTTACTTCCGATTATTTGACCCCTAAATCCTTTGAGTAACCCAAATTTTACACGCGACATTTTGTCATAAAAAAATTAATACCTATATTATATCTCTGTTTCATTTCTTTATATAAAAGATAAAGAGAACGATAAAGAGCAACGATGAGTTCGAGGATCGATCTCCTCGAGATCACTTTTTTTCTTTCTTTTCTTTGAAATCATAAAAGGCAGGGCGCCATCAAGGATGACGATGACTCACCTCGTCCTGCGCGCTTCTCGCCCCTGAATCCTGCTGTTGCCGAAGAAGAGTTGCAGCTTTCCTTGAGTTCCTTCAAATAGGTAGTGATCAAATGAAGAGATAGTGTAGTCGACGATAATAACGACGGCGATGATGAAGATAATGATGACCAAGAGAATTTCTCCTTCCCCTCTCGGATTTCCCTTCCGTTCGACCTTGACGACTACCGACCAAAAGACAAAGATGGAGATTCCCTTTATACTACTTCTCTCTTATTCTCTTTCTTTCTCTCTCTCTCTTCTCTCTCTCTTTTTCTTTCTCTCTCTCTCTCTTTCTTCCTTGCTTTATGTTTTCACGTATCAGAGAACGTACCGCGAACGAGACCGACGAGCCGAAACGTGTTCCCGTAAGCACCGCACGATCACTATTGGCTCGATCGCACGGCTTCGACCACGGACTGGTCAATGAAATGCGCGTCTATAGATGCGCGGTAAACACCGGATTGAACCGGTTACGAACCGTCTCTCGACATCTGTCCATTCATGCAAGAACTTCCTTTACTTTACTCGTACGATACTGTGCTACTTATTTCAAATATTAACGTCAATTCACTTCAATCCATTCATAGACAATATCGAACGAGCACAGTGCACAGATGTCGACATCTATGTTACGAACTTTTTGTTGATATTGCAAGAGATTTAGATTTAAAAAATTTTTTATCGATCGAAGGTAAATCATGAAAATGAACATTTTATGATAACATTTTTTTATGTCATTGACGTGAAAGCTAATTCATGCGATACCGAACCTTGTTTTTTTTTTTTCTAATTAGTTATTTTATCGTGTTCTATAATGACGCGTATTTTTTATATATACATGTTTAAACACAATATTGTCGTTAATCGTATATATCACGGATTTGGCAATTTTTTACATTCGATTTTTTTTTTTTCAATAGAAACCACATGTAACGATTTGATAGAACAAGCGGTTGCCAGTAACATATATACCATAATAATGACGTTCAAACGCTTTGATTATTTATTGATCTTAGCTATGTTCAATTGTTCAAGCAAACAAAGGAAAGGCAAATTTGCAGAGAAAATAAAATATTGTAAAAAAAGAAAACAAATTGGAAGGAATGGGTGAACGTATAGTCAAAAACCAGTGTAAACATTACAATCGATTGCTACCGATTCGGCAAAATTATCGATACGATTAGAACATATATTATTTGATCTTAAAATAAATAATTTAATAAAGTTTGATCTACGATCGGATGATCATTTATTGATTCATCCTACGACTGTCTTACCGACACTTTCTACATCTTTATCTCGATCGGTAAAGTCTCATAAAAAAGCATGATTCTTGTTGATTCGTTTTACAGGATTATTACAATATGATTAATTAGTCAGATACAGTGAGATTGATCTGGTCGAATCCAGTTAAAAGATGATAACATAAAACAAAGTAAATACATAAGGTAAATAGAAATTAATTGCTTTCTGTTATTTTTTCGTTAACATTGACCTAGAACGAAAATATTCGAGAACTACTTTTGGAAAATGTATTTTTCACATATTATTTGATTAATCCATTATCATTTATCTTACTGTCGAATATTTTTCCTTATTATCGTGGTTAGTCGAATATAAAAAGAACGTAACGATGGGAGTTCAGAAGTGTTCTCAAAATGGGATTTAAATAGAACGAGGTACTGTTTTATAGAATACGCTCAGGTACGAGTGAGCAAACAAGCAATAAAGAGAGCAGTAAATAGAGGTAACATTTTGGAAACGATGAGTACTCGGTTAAGGGTGCAACTAAGGATTTCTCTCTCTCTCTTTCTCTCTCTCTCTCTATCTCTCTCTTACACAGTCTCTCTCTTTCTCTTTCTTATCCTCAGTTGCATCCTTCTTTAGAGTGCTTGCGTTCAAGCTGGCACGACACAAAGGTAAACGAGAATATCTCTTCTCCAAGCTACGACCAGCGTGTCTGAGGTAATCCTCCCCGGAGATTACCTGGACGCGAGCGTACCTTTATTTATGTTCGGTTAAAGGGATTTTAATACACGTCTAGCATCGTCAAGCGTAATAATTCAGAAGGACAGGCAAGACGTTAAAGGCGACATGGCACTAACCAATGAAGATGCCATCCTGCTGCTTGTTGGTTGTTAAGGAAAATTTGCATAGACGTAAAAGTGAAATAACACTTTCCCAAATCCGCCCAAGAAATTCGTCTACTCCTCTTTCAACAAGCTAATCTCCTTGACTACTTGACGGGTTCTACTCCGTTTTTTTCTCTGGATTATAACAGCTATTATCGACTTTAACTCTGACGAGTTTCGACAAAGTATTGTCGAGACACGAAGGAATATGTCTACTTGTCTATTTGTCTATCTGTCTGTCTACTTTCTTACTTGTCTTCTTTTTCTTAAACTTTCTTCCATCTTTCACGAACGAACGATACGATTTTCTCTTTCCTAAGAACTCTGACAATGAGATAAGTTCAAGAACGAAATGTAGTAGATATTCTTTTTGAAGTGAAACTTCTTTAGCCATGGTAGCGTAAGTTTGCTTGGGCGGAAAGAAAAGTGAAATGCTTCCCCCACTAAGAAGTCGAGAGTAAAAGGAGGGGGAAACATTCCTTCTCTCTCTCTCTCTCTCTCTCTCTCCCCTCTCTATTTCGTCACATCACTTGCTTGCGCAGTGGATACTATTCGTATTTGTATTGCAGACTGAATATTATACTTTTACGATATACTACACGTTAACAAGTGTTTTTCTTAAAGATTGTGATATTTTGTAAGTTTTAATATGTCAAAAGAAAGGACCACTGAACGTGTCCAAACGTTTCAAAAACGACAAAAGGCTAATAATAACACAAATAACGTTCAAAAAATGAATTGGAAAGAAAATAGGTGTAAATAGTTAGGAAGAAGACATTGAAGACGTGCGTTAAATAATCTTTAGCTATTTACACACAATTCAGGTATACTGTAGATAAGCTAAAATCCATTCTTAGTGCACTATTATGGATGATTCACAACATATAAGAATATCATCTACATGTAAAGATTCGTCTGCTATCTTGAATAATCAAATGTACATGACTTAGCTGTACTATTAATAAATGGAAATGCATCCATTGTTGTTAGAATAATACTCATAATTTAAAACTATTCATCGAGAATTTGAAAAATAATTTGTTAACAATAAGCTTGGTAAAGTTTGCTTTATTTATGATCGAATATAGATTAAATATATCAGTAACAATACTGTCAATCAATATAATCAATCCATTCTGAATTTAATGGAGAATAAAATCATATCAATTGCATAAAACTTCTACGTTTACTACGTAAAACTTTTATGTTTACTATGTAAAACTTACTACGTTTACACTCAAAAACAGGAGAATTTCGTTCTTCAGAAACTTTATAAAATGACGATTATAGATACTGATGGATTATCTTATGATATTATACTCTTTCTCAACAAAATCTATATTATAACAAATAATGTGATTGTCGCAGATGATTTGGCAAATAGTACTTTAGGCACATTAGTTCATATTAAATATGATGATGATGGAGAGACGAAATGTGTTTAACTGTAGTTCTCAGTAGTTCCTAATATTTCCAAATATTAAAGAAATATGAGGAAAAAAGCTCCTGCTTCCATTCAGGCAAATAATCTTTGTCGAACAACAATGTTTTTAAAAAGATGCATATATAATATTCTATTAAATATTAAAAAAACCATTATTGCCAAAAGGAATCAGTTGCTACTAGTTATTGGCTTAAACATCATCATTCACAAATGTCATGGAGATATTTTTAATATTTATAAATACAGCGAAACATTATCACAGCTACTAGTGTATGATTTATCAGGAGTTACGAACATCAACGAGATCTATGTCATAACAAGAAATGACAATTCAAAATTTAATGTCAATCGAAAATCAAATTCTACAGCTAGTTTAGATAATGACTTTCAAAGGTTGAATATTAATCGATTACAAACATTGAACGATCGTTTTAATCGATTTTATGATAAACAGAAGAGAACTTTCGCTTTGATTATTTAATTGTCAAAGTTTGTGGATTCGCTCTATGATGCTGGATGATTCAGTAATGCCACGATCTAACTTTTTGGATGATTCAGTAATGCAACAATTTAACTTCTTGCTATTATCAGAAATTTGTCTGAAGAATGAAATAATGATAAACATTTACAATTTTTACTGTATTGTATAATTTAAATGTTTAAATATAAGATCTGTTGGAATAAATATTTATATGTCTATTAATGCATGGGACAAACTTATAATACAGATATGAATTAAAAAAAAAAAAAAATAATAATTCAGTATGTGTCCATTCCGTAGGAATTGATGATTTGTATATAGCTTAATATCGATCGGAAAATAGATTAACGATTCTCATGGCCACCATTTACGTATTGAAGAACAAAAATTATAAGATTATTCACGAAATCTCATCGGCATACGCCATTGAGGGTGCAAAACTGTTGATAAGAAATTTGAGCAAATTACCAATGATTCAACATCAATTTTGATTTAAAAGAAGCAGAATCATTCATGACATTCTTAGAGGAAAAATTCAATTTGAAATTAAATTTTAATAAGAATAAATCCATTACTAGCTCGAGCATTAGAATTGATGCAGTATTTATTCAATATTTAGACATTTTACAATTAAGGATATTTATATCTTATTTTAATTATCATAAGTCAATAATTTCATTTTTAGAGTATAAATAGTGATTGATGAATAACGAATAAAACATTTAATTTAATTACTTTATTTATATTACTGACCCCTAAATCCTGACATTTCGTATCCTGAAATTTATTCACATTAAGAAAAATTAATGGTTTTGATATGTAAAAAAAAAAAAATGATAAAAAGTTTTACTTCTAACGCGCGAGAGTTCTATGCACCAAATTTTCCTCTGTTCTCTCTCTCTCTCTCTCTCTCTTTCTACTTACTTAAACGTACGCGAGTACCTATAAATTTCATTTCGGGGAGCACGGTATTAAAATTCCACGTATGTATGCACTCATGTACGTCACCCACTTCCCCATAAATCTCAAGCGGCGATAAGAGGGCGAACGCAATCGATAAGAGCAAACCTCACACGAACCATCTCTCAAGTAATACTTGCTACTCCAGCATATACATTTCCGCATAGGTTCAGCATGAGTCGTCGACCTTCGATGCGGTTCGATTATTTTTCTACTGTAAGAATCACGATTGTGTTCCCTTCTTTCCTTTTTTGCCAATTTATTGCTTTCTCGTTTTGAAGCAGCTATCTCTCTAACCTCTCCTCGTTATCTATAACACTTTATATTAAACGAAGAAAAAGAATATATCGAACGAAGAGAATAATAAAAAAAGAAAAAGAAAACAAACAAA